ATTAATATTTACTCCCGCTCTGGATTCGAACGAATTCCTTGGACAGAATTCGAATTAATGCCTTGGGCACAAGTTGCAGTCATGAGGGCTAAGTGGGACATCAGTAAGCTTCAGGAAATTGCACGGCAAAAGCATGAAGGTCATGAGTTTCCTGATGATCCCCTGCCAGCTCTCCGTGGAAAAGCATTAGAGCGACTCAGGGAGAAGCCATGTGCTGGTGTCTTGCTTTCATCCAGTGGAATATGCTGAACACAAACTTCCGTGCGAACCCAGTCGCGACAAATTTGATATTACATTTCTTGTGGATATTGATGGATGTCACTAGCATAGCAATGAATGTGCAAATGTTGCTTTGTAGCTATTGGATACGCAATCTAGAGTCTTGATAGAGCGCCGTGCAGAAAATCCTACCATCCATTATACTCTTGTGGGAGACGAAATTGTCCGGATATTCCTCCTAGCGGCTTCCATAGGTCAAAATTTTTCTTTGGTGCCTGCTACGTGCCATGGCTTTTATTGGATGTTGTATGTGAAGCATGGTGCTGTCCTTATTTGTCTTAGTTAAGGGAACCGAGAATATATTTCTCTGCCCTCTTAATTTGATTATGGAGTGAAGACTCTTGATATTAAATTGCCCATACTTCCTACTAAGTCAACTCAGGATACCCGAACATCTCGAAGCTGGTATTCAATATTTCAGTTCATTCATGCCATTGCTGTCCACTCTGTCAAGAATTCTTCTGAAACCACGAACTCTCCATCTGTTACAAATCTTCACTGGAAGATGTGAGCAGCATCTGTTTTCTCTATCCACTTGAAATTTATTGACGCTATAAGGGACTCCCAAATACCGGTTCACATTGATCCCTCTGGTTGTGCGAGACCTCAGGCAAGATATCGAGCGAATGCAGAGCCCAGTCGAGCATATCGCGAACGCCGGAACGCCATAATACCATTGAGACGACAGCTACTAATGCAAACCGATAAGAAAGGGCTTCTTGATCTTCTTGAACATCGAATTGTTTCATATCTGTGCGACGGTGGCCACTTTCCTGCGGGACAAGGCTCTCCACGCCGCGTTGACTTTATCAACAAATCCAAATCCCGCATTATTGATGAAATTCATTGGGTTGAGGAGTATCATGAGGATTTAATTCTCACTGAGCTTGAGAAACTAAATCAGGAACCACGTGGCTCGGATCTGGTTACGCTGATGGAGCAACTCTCGCAATTGAGGCACCAGGCGCCTGCATCCTCCTAATTAAAAATTCCAAATATATCGGCTGCATTTATGGACCTGCACGTCGTGATCCTCATGTCTAAGAACTCCGTTCAGAGATGGCTCTATAGCAGCTGTCATGATTGAGATAGGGAAATGCTTGTCTCACTACATCCTGTTATTTCTTCGTCTCTTCGTCATTCATGGTTTGTAGAAATATAAGATAGATCCTCGTTAAACAGAATGAGCCGTGATACGATGGCACTCGGACTTTCCGGTGTACATTGGCGCACAAGCCATTCGATAACCGGGTCGATACACCATATACGTACGGAGCAGGGGTCCAATCTTACGGCAGATTCAGGAGAGACGGCCACCGAAACCTTACGCAAGAGGGTGTCGCAGCCGACAGGGTGTTCGTGTGGAGCGAAGTCTCCCGTCCGAAGTAAAGAAGCCGTCTATCTGATGCTAGCTGTGATGATTCCTAGGGACAGTCGGCCGGTTGGCAACTGCGGATTCCCAATAGCAACTCGGCACCAGTGCATAAGCCAAATTGACCGCGTAGCATTGCCTTGATCCGACCAAGGTATCTAGGTAATAACGACTTCTTTTCCAGTTTTTCGCATGGGATCGTCTCCTCGAGATCAGCGCCAAGACAACAGACCAAATGCCCTACAGTCGTTTGATACCCCGGTATTTCCAGGCCATCAAAGGCTTTCCTACTCAGTTTCTCTCCCGTGTCCGAACCAGATGAACTGAGCCATTGGCCGAGAGATCTTCAGAACAAAGTCTAGATTTATTTGAATAGCATCTTTCTAATGTATGAGATGGCTTCCCGTCTTGTACACGACTAGCGTAGCTACCGATTTGTAACTTCCATCACAGGTACTTTCTTTCGCTGTTCATAGTCATGATTGACGGGACATTCCTATCTATAAGATACCCCCCTCGAGACTTTGAATATTGGTTTCGACTGTATATGCATGCAAAGTTCTTCCTACTCAAGAGACATTTTCCTCCCAAAACATAATTTCGACCGAGAGTCTTGATAAAGGAAATTCATCGAAGAATAATGTATGTCTCAAGATTCTTCCTTTGTGTGTATTTCTACTGATACATAGCAGGGATTCGTCCTCTTTTATTCTACTAGATATCGACCTGAAAACAGGGTCCAAACTTTCGCAAGAAAAGAGGGCAAGAAATGCTGCCTCGAGCAGACGATATCGTGGGAGAAGGCATCCAGGAATGGATGAGCTCCTTAATCGCCTGGAGGATCTCATTACTTTGTTGATCAGGGAGGGGGTAGTTACTCCGGATGCACCATTGCCCAGAAGAGACGATTACATGGACGCAACCCTCGCGAGTGTTGACAAAGAAGTCAAGCGCTGGGAGACATGTCTTCGGGAGTTCTATTCTTCTAAGCTACGGGCCTTGGGGGAGAATTCCAAAAAGCTTGAAGAATTCTCAGTGGAACGACTTAGACAATTGGCTACCAAGCCGACCAGAAGTTAGGTGGAAGGTAACAAGAGCCTTGAATTAGAAGGGGAGCACTTTAAGCGGTCTACTTTTTCAAATCGGGGAAAAAGCTAGGAGAACTTCAAGAGTTCTCAGTGGAGCAACTTCGACAGTAATCAATAATGTGACTTGTCTGCTTTATTGAACATTGAGCGGCGATCAAATTGTATATACAGACAAAAATCGTGTGATATGCCTGAAAAATGCATCTTTTCCTACCTAATGGAAGTTGGCTGAGACATAAGCTTCTTTCAGGAGACTGTAGGAACCGAAACGTCAATTTAATTACATGATAGGACCATTTGAAAGCATTGATTTTGTTATTAGAACGCCCTACTCTATGCAGTTTTGAAATCGTGCCCTATATATTTAAGTGAACTTGCATGATGTGGACAATACTGTTCAGTGTATTGATGACCATATAAATGATGCCTTGAAATCCCGCCATGTTGTTTCCTAGTTGATGGAACAAAAAAATATCTCGTTCACTTTCTCATGCCTCATAGTTCTTGGAGTGTGATCGTGAGATTACATAATCAATTTTACGTTATGCAAAATTTGGTGCAGTCTTGGCACCCCAAAACCTCAAAAAATTGCAACTTTTGTATCGGAAGCCCTCCAAACCACCAAAATACTGATTTTTCTCACCAAATCCCATCGATTTTTTACTGAATTTGTCATATCTGAGGTTCTTCTGACTTTCTAATTAGGAAATTATAGCCTATGTCTGTGCCGATATCGAGATTACCCCCGTATCGCAGAAAAAATGGCATCCGA